ATGCTGTGTCATTTCCGCCGTGTGTTTTAATATTCTACGTATTATTAATGAATTATATTGCTCATTTTGCACATATAAACATTAATTCAATAAAAAGACATTCAGTAATAAAAAATAATGAATCTTTTGTACATAAGAGAAATGACGCTGTTTACACGATTATGCACGTCGTCTGCACGTTGGCGGGCCGTTCAAACCCGTCGAAATTCAAGTTCCCGCCGTCAAAATTTTTATTTATTTATTTTTTTGTGTGTTCCAATAAAATACGTTAAGAATTAAAAACTCGCGAAATTTAAGAAGCTACTATACGACATTTAACCCTTCAATATGTCTTCAAAGAGACCTTGATGCAGGGAAAGTGGTGCTATTGCTTCCAAGCATAAGCACAAGTCACTATCTATCCAGGAAAAGGGTGAATTTCCATGGTCCGTCAATTTCCACGGTCCGGCACCGGTCAGGTCCCGAGGTTGCCGGACTAGAGAGGTACAACCTGTATTATTATTATTATTATTAGCATTATCATTTTCATTATCATTATTAATATTATTACATTATCGCCCCCCAGGCCCCGATGTGGGTCAGTGACCTGTGCCCGGGTGGGCTAATCCCCATAAAAAAAAAAAAAATTAGGGGTTCGGGATTGATAATCCGAAAGTTGGTTAATCGAGGTTTTACTGTACAGTCAACCCTTACTTTACGCAGTCCCACATTCCACGTTTCCACGGTGCCCTGCCAGAACCCAGGATGCTCACATTCCGCGGTGGGTGTACCCCTTTACGCGGGTGAAGTATAATTTTTTTATTTAGCTCATAAAATTCATATAAATTATCCGGCCAGAATATAATTTACATTGCTGGAATTCTTACAATTTGATGATCATTTTGAATATAAACATCATAGATTTTGCATTAGACATACAAATTTTAGATATAATGTTTACTCTGAGTAAATATGTTTTCTTTTGTGCAAAATATATGACATTTATATTCAAAATATTCCTGGTCTTACAAGGAATCCAGCAATGTCAATTATATTATCCTAACTTTAGTCTGATCTATTATTTATTACTAAAAAGGTAAACGGTCTGGTATTCCCACACATTCATCTGGTAGGGAGGGTTGGTGGGAGGGTGGGAGGGAGGGAGGGAGGGACCGGCGACCGACCACCTGGCACGGGTGAAGAATATTTTTTTTTTATTAACTGAAGATATTTGTTTTAGCTCATAAAATTCATACAAATTACCCGGCCAGAATATAATTTACATTGCTGGAATTCTTACAATTTGATGATCATTTTGAATATAAACATCATAGATTTTGCATTAGACATACAAATTTTAGATATAATGTTTACTCTTGAGTAAATATGTTATCTTTTGTGCAAAATATATGACATTTATATTCATAATATTCCTGGTCTTACAAGGAATCCAGCAATGTCAATTATATTATCCTAACTTTAATCTGAGGTATTATTTAATACTAACTGTTAAAATCTAGTTTTTTCACCCAAACTTTCTCTTGAAGGGAGGGGGGGTGGGGGGAGGGTTGGGACGGACCGACCATCTGGCTGGTTGGAAGAGGGGGGAAGGCAAGGTGGGGTACTTTGATTGACAGATAGTGTCGTGAAGAATATTTTTTTTTATTAACTGAAGATATTTGTTTTAGCTCATAAAATTCACACAAATTACCTGGCCAGAATATAATTTACATTGCTGGAATTCTTACAATTTGATGATCATTTTGAATATAAACATCATAGATTTTGCATTAGACATACAAATTTTAGATATAATGTTTACTCTTGAGTAAATATGTTATCTTTTGTGCAAAATATATGACATTTATATTCAAAATATTCCTGGTCTTACAAGGAATCCAGCAATGTCAATTATATTATCCTAACTTTAGTTTGAGGTATTATTTATTACTATACCTGGTTTTCCCCCAAAAATTTCTCAGAGAGGGAAGAGCCAGCGAGTGTAGTGTGAGAAGAGGGGGGAGGGAGTTGAGTCCATTATTTGAATGGACATTAACTTGGCAACTGTATTTCTCTATTTCTCTTAAGTATTTATTGTGTGCATGTACCATCATAAAATTAAGATGTTATTTTTACTAGAACATAGGTATTGTGTTGGAAAAAGTGGAGTTTGGGGGTCAGCTGGTCTCTATTTCATTTAATCCCGTAGGTTATGTTATTCACTTTACGCGTTTCTCACTTTCCGTGGTACCCTGTGGGTTACATTAACCTCGTAATGTGAGGGTTGACTGTATATCAATACTGTATTAATTGAACATTATGTACGAGTCAGTGATCTGCAAGGGCTTGTACCTTCACCTTAAAAACCCAACTATAATCCAGAAGAACCTCGATAAATTGGACTTAATTAAGGCAGATCTCAGTCCAATAAATGCGAATTTTTGGGGGGGTGAGATAACACTGCTTATCTGAGTTGTTTAATTTAAATAAAATCAGTTGTTGTTATGTTATTACAGCACCTCAACAACTAAGGTTTTTTAAGTGTATAACAAGGTTAGAATATTACATCAATTCTAAAAAAATATGAAACAAATCTCTGGGTTGAAAATGAGACTTAAGTCTGGCTGTGACCGAGATGACTGTTATTATTGTAAAGTGTTATATGTAAGTAACCAAAGAATTTTTTTTATGAATAAAGAGAAAACTGTAAACTGTACAGTACTATAAAGATGAAAATAAGAACAAATAAGTGTAGGAGTTTATTGTACAGTATGTGGAAGACATGTTTATTTGTGAGCAGCTGGCAGTGGGGTAGTATGTGTGGTGTGTGGATGGCTTTCTCCCACAAGATTCCTTTTTCACTTCTTTATTCAATTCCACCACAATTCTCATATAATTTAGGATCATTTGGTGTCAGGTTGATAAAATATTACCCTAAAAGAATCCGACACTGAACACCATTGAGTCATGTGTTTACAAAGAGCAAACAGCTGATCGGCTTACCACAATGTCTGTCTTCAACACTTAAGGCATTTATTGTAAGGCGTTTTCGATGCACAGAATAGATAAAGCGTTAGCTATTCTGTATGAGCAGACGCTGCTTTTGTTTTGTGCACAGGACACTTTCAGAGGGAAAAGCTAACACCTCGTTCAGGAGTTTGCCTTTCACAGGGCCCAAGGGGCACAAATAGGTAACAACCAATCAGCGATTTCTCCCAGTGAAAATATGTGGATCATGGCCGCTTATGGAGAACATTTTGATTAATATTGAAGAGTTGGGGGCATGTAAGGCAATAAACAATTGTGATGTAATAATAAAAATAATTCTATATACGGTAGTACATTGGATAGGACCTAAAACAAAGCATGTGGCGTTAAAGAATTGAAAAGGATTGTGCCTAGTTGAAAACTGTTTAGGCTCTGCCCTTTTTATGTGGGTGCTGTCCAATTTCATTAGTCGTTGGTGACTTTGGTTTAACAATATCGATAATAACTCAAATATGATTAAAACTTTGATATAATTACTCATAAGATATTTTAAATAAGGGTGAACAAGTATATTAAAGTTCTGTAAATGCAAAAATCAAGACTTTAAACAAACCTGAAATTCATCATATTTTGTGTCAAAATATGAGAACACAGTCGCGAGAGAAGAAGTGTACAGCTGCTCTAGTCGCTTCCTGTGCTTCCAGTGTCTGGGAGAAATTTCCTTTGCAACTGGCCCGGTTTTTGTTTTTATTATTATTTACTGCTGACTGATTGACTTTTATCCTTTAGTGTCTTTCTTTCCACAATTTCCTATATATTTTCTTTACTATTTCTTTCTGTATTGTGTCCAAATAACAGTTCTCCTAATTTTATTGTTTTCTGAAGACTGTGTTGTGCAACAGTTATTCCCAAGATGCGGTACAATGTCATATTTTTTAATGACAGTCGAGTAAAGCTAACACGTTAGCTATTCTGTGCATCTTAAAACACCTTATAATTAACGCCTTAGGTAAATTAGTACAGTACAGTTATGTATCTATCATCTTTAATAAATACTGTTGTAGTGTATTATCACCACTTAATAAGTAATATTGTAGTGTATTTATCATCATTTGATAAGTAATACTGTATTGTATTATGCACTGCATATACCCTGGTTTATTCATTAATCATTTGGGTAAGTGTACAAGTAGCCAAATTGAGCCATCATGTGTCATTCAAAGGTAGTAAATAACTTTGTTAAGAAGGTATCTTCATATCAAATACTACACAGTGTGTTATAGTGACCTCTTTTGTAAGCTGGTCTGTTGAAAGATGTCACACAAATGCATCTTGAGTAATAACCTTCTGATACAGCTTATCCTTTTATTCTCAAGTCATATTACAAATTACATAAAGCATTGTATTTTTTCTCTATAACTGAAGCTGTTATATTAATCATGATGAACCATAAACCATAAGAGGCCAATCATAGGAGAATATAATACTGACTCAATAAATAAATAAACCTGACGAATGTGGCAACACCTTTCAGCCCCAGCCTACTTACATACTCAAGTGTCTTAGTTCTCAGTAGGCCTATAACAAATCTCATTAGACCACTGTACAGTACTCAGTAAGTGTTGTTCATTTACCTTCCCCATTTCCTAAAATATGTACTTTTTTGTGTGTGTATATTTCTGGTGACCAGAGCACCTCAGAGAATCTGAAAAAAGCAAATTCCAATACGTATATTGAAGTCCAGTTTATTGAAGTTTTACTCTATAGTGGAAAAAACAACAGAAGGTAGAAGAGTTAATGATTGTGCGGCTCTGTCTTTACTCTGCCACATGTTGCTGGTCTAGTTGTTTACATACAGTACTGTACTTTTAACACTATTTTACAGTAAACATTAATTTACTCAGTATTCTTTCAAGTTATATGCAGATTTACAGCACAATCAGAAAGTAGTTTAATTTGGAGTAGCCAGAAACTGTTGTTTGAGGATGAATTATTAATTTTCATGATGGAAATTTTCTTCGCTTTATTGTCAGTGAACAATGTTGGTGTGGCTGGCTCCAATCCATGTTTCTTTGAGGAGGTGTCAGAAGATGACATCTGGGCACTTGTTAATGTGAATGTGGCATCTGTACCAGCTATGACAAAAATAGTGTTGCCAGGAATGTTAGCACGCAAGAAAGGTGCAATCATCAATATCAGCTCATCTGCAGGAGTTGTACCTCTGCCACTGTTTCAACTCTACAGTGCAACTAAGGTAAAGAATAATTTTGTTATATGACAGGCTATATTGACAGTATGTGTATGGACCCTCAAATCCAGATCTCAGAGAACCAGAGATTTTCCCCCAAATTATATTTTCTTCACAAGGGTGATGCATCCATTATCTGAGACCTGCCGGTAGGTTCCGTCTTCTACACACTCGCGTAAAGTCTGTTGAATGTTGGTTTTACTCATTAAATAACAAAATAAAATGTCAGCTTCCCTCTAGTCGCAAGTCTTTGCAAGAAATACTGTACAGGTTGTTCCCGACATATGACAGGGATACTTTCCTGGACCCATAGTTTAGGTTAGGTTAAAGCCCATACAAAACAACAATAGTATACCCATATATAACAAATATTGTAAATAAAGTGATGTCAAACAATATATAGTGACGAAAATAATGTAAAAAAAAAAGGGATTTTAATTACAATTCTTTGCAGTGAATGTATTGGGATCCCTTTCATAAGTGCGGGTGATGGTACGTTGGATGGTGGTAACTCGGGGACTGCCTGCCAGTTCATAGATAATTGTTATCTTACAGTATAAATAGCTAATACTGTACTGTACCTTGGTTTTTATTCATGCAGTAAAAATCCAGTTATCTGGCACCTATGGGGATTGAGAGGTGCCGGAAAAAGAGTTTTTCCAGTTAGTTGAATCTCACTCTTTGGATTCCCCAATAATTCCTAGAATGCACATTGCTACAGGCTGACCTCACAAAACCAGACTTCTTTAAGACTTGATCCACTCTATATAAACAATGTGGCTTAAAATAAAGAAAATATAATATAATATACAGTTAACCCTCACTTTACGCGGTTAATGTAACCCGGAGGGTACCGCGGAAAGTGAGAAACGCGTAAAGTGAATAACATAACATATGGGATTAATTGAAATGGAGTCCAGGCCGATCCCCAAACTCCACTTTTTGACGACACATAACTATGTTGTAGTAAAAATAACATCTTAATTTTATGATGGTACATGCACACAATTAATACTTAAGAGAAATAGAGAAATACAGTCGCCAAGTTAATGTCCATTCAAATAATGGACACGACTCCCTCCCCCTCTTCTCACACTACACTGCTGGCTCTTCCCTCTGAGAAATTTTTGGGGGAAAACCAGGTATAGTAATAAATAATACCTCAAACTAAAGTTAGGATAATATAATTGACATTGCTGGATTCCTTGTAAGACCAGGAATATTTTGAATATAAATGTCATATATTTTGCACAAAAGATAACATACTTACTCAGATTATACATTTTATCTAAAAATTTTATGTCTAATGCAAAATATATGATGTTTATATTCAAAATGATCATCAAATTGTAAGAATTCCAGCAATGTAAATTATATTCTGGCCAGGTAATTTATATGAATTTTATGAGCTAAAACAAATATCTTCAGTTAATAAAAAAAAAATATTCTTCAGGACACAATCTGTCAATCAAAGTACCCCACCTTGCCTCCCCCCCTCTTCCAACTGCGCGGTCAGTCCCAACCCTCCCCCCCATCCCCCACCAATCCTCCCTTCCTCCCTTCAAGAGATGTTGGGTGAAAAATTTAGATTTTAAAATTTTGTATTAAATAATACCTCAGATTAAAGTTAGGATAATATAATTGACATTGCTGGATTCCTTGTAAGACCAGGAATATTTTGAATATAAACGTCATATATTTTGCACAAAAGATAACATACTTACTCAGAGTAAACATTTTATCTAAAAATTTTATGTCTAATGTAAAATATATGATGATTATATTCAAAATGATCATCAAATTGTAAGAATTCCAGCAATGTAAATTATATTCTGGCCAGGTAATTTGTATGAATTTTATGAGCTAAAATAAAAATCTTCAGTTAATAAAAAAAAAATATTCTTAACACGGTAACAGATGGTCGGTCGCCGGTCCCTCCCTCCCTCCCTCCCTCCCCCCCACCAACGTCCCTACTAGATAAATGTGTGGGAATACCAGACTGTTTACCTTTTTAGTAATAAATAATAAACCAGACTAAAGTTAGGATAATATAATTGACATTGCTGGATTCCTTGTAAGACCAGGAATATTTTGAATATAAATATCATATATTTTGCACAAAAGATAACATATTTACTCACGAGTAAACATTATATCTAAAATTTGTATGTCTAATGCAAAATCTATGATGTTTATATTCAAAATGATCATCAAATTGTAAGAATTCCAGCAATGTAAATTATATTCTGGCCGGATAATTTGTATGAATTTTATGAGCTAAATTAAAAAAAATTATACTTCACCCGTGTAAAGGGGTACACCCACCGCGGAATGTGAGCATCCTGGGTTCTGGCAGGGCACCGCGTAAACGTGGAAACGCGGAATGTGGGACCGCGTAAAGTGAGGGTTGATTGTAATATAATATAATATAATATAATATAATATAATATAATATAATATAAAATTATAAATAAAAAATGAAGAGCCTGGGTGTATGAGTGTGAAGTGAAAGTGTGTGGAGTTGGTGGGCTATAACTGCGAGGCCGATTCACTAGCCCGGCTGCCGCATTTATTGTTACATGTACAGTAAAGCCTCCGATTATGACGCTTCAACTAACGAAGATTCATGTCTAAGACCCTGGTTAATTTAGGACCCAATTCATTTTACGCCTTTATTTTCTTTGTATTTACGACGAAATAAAAAATATATAATACATTTTCGTATAAATATTAATTAAATCCCGATATTATAAAAAAAAAAAAACACGCCTTGCGCACCGAGGCTGCCGGGCTTGTTAATGGTGACCCCAGCATCACTAGTATAAACAATCACAGCTGGCGGGCCCTTTGTTTTCACGCATCTGAAAAGGAGAAAAACATTCTTGGGGTTCTTGTGGCATTTTTTGCATCCCTATTCAACATGAGCAAGAGAGCAAGTGATGGTAGTGCTGGTTCAAAAGCTAATAGAAAGTGTATATGAAAAAGGTTAGAGGTCTGTGGATATTATATGGAGCAAGCAATGAACATTTTCTGAAGTGGATCCATTAACAGAACAAAGCCTTAAAATTTAAATAAATGCAAATGACCTCTACATAAAGATGTATAATGGAAAAAGAAAGCAGCTGTGCAAGGTTCTTTCGAGAGCTTTACGTATTATTCGAAGGCCTAAACCATCAACTTCAGCAACAACTTCAGGTTCAGTAACAGTTTCAGCAACAGCTTTATGGAAAGCTACAGCTTCAGCCAGAGTTGAACCTGATGGCTTCGTCATCTGAGTAAAAACTCGCACAATATTCATTGGCAATCCTTATGTTTTAGACTTTACCACCATTGTTGAGTAGAATTTTTGTTTTACATTCGTAAATACAGTAGAACGTCGATTTAAAGCGATTCAATTTAAGATTATTGATTTTAAGCGACACCCACAATTAAGGAGAATGTTTTAATTTAAAGCGAATCTTTCCTATTTTGCGCGAGTCAATCTGGCGCATCATATTTAAAATTTGCGCCTAATGTTTCTCTGGGCATGATACACTGTCCTAAGGGCAAAGCTGTACTCTACGTGTACTCAAAATTATGTACTAAATGATTACTAAAAATTTTGTCTAGTACAAACTATAGCATGTTTATATTCAAATTAATCACTATCTTATAAGAATTCGAGCAGTGTAAATTATATTCTCCCCGGTCACTTCTGTGACATTTTTTAAACAAAAAACATAAACTCAATCTAAAGGACATAAATAAACAAATAAATACTTCACTAGACCTTCGGCGCCAACTGTCAAACATGTCACTGCCACCCCCCCCTCCTTGCCAGGGTTGGGTGGTTATAGGCTTACAGTTTTTATCTTATATAATTCCACAGACTAAAGTTAGGAGAAATTAATTTGCATTGCTGGAATCCTTGCAAGACAGCGAATAATTTGAATATAATTTTCATATATTTTGCAAAGAGATAAAAATTTTAGCCCTTTGTAATAAAATTAATTATAACTAAAATTTGTATGTCTAATGCAAGCTATAGCATGTATATATTCAAACTAATCACTATCTTATAAGAATTCCAGCAATGTTATTTATATTCTCCCAGGTCAGTTCAGTGACATTTTATTAGAGAAAAACTTAAAGTCACTCTTAAGGACAGATAAATAAATAAGCACTAGACCTTGGCATCAACTGTTAAACATATCACCTCACCTCCCCCCCCCCCCCATCTTCCCAGCCAGTAAACAGACCATTTTGCATCCCTATGTTGAGTTATTAGTGTTTGTTTTAACATAATGCTACAAAAAACAATGTTTTGTTTATTCTAGGAGATGGGCTGAGGTGCATCTGGGTAGACTGTCGGTCTATTTAGTATTTTGTGTTTCTCTCAAGTACCAAACTAAATTATTCCATTTAAACAACACTTTGATTTTGTGCGAATTCGGTTTAAAGCGACCTCTCTTGGAACCTATCTCGCGTTATATCGACGTTCTACTGTACTTGTACATTACCTGTAGTGTTGCTTGCAGGCCTCTATCACTCCCTGGTCCACTGGCTGTATTAAGGAGGTGGTGTTGGGAGGAAGATACAAGACCTTGATACGACCACCATGTCCCACAAGCTCCTCCACGGCAGGGTGTGCAGGGGAGCAGGATGACCTTCACGTTATCCCTCAAAATACCCAGCACTTCCGTCTGATACTTGATGATGACAGGGACAAAGTGACTGTTAAACCAGGTGTGGAACTTGTCGCAAGTGAACCAGGCAGTCTTATTCCCCTTGTATATCACTAGTAAGGTGTTCATGATATTTTTTAAAGCCTGGGGCTATTTTGCCTTAACCCCAAACCATCGGTTTCAGCCGGTGGGAGCCGTCAGCATTGTCACAGACAAGAATCAAGACTTGATCTTTTGCCATCTTCCTGCCAGCTACATGTGTCTCGTGCCTGTAATCCTGGGTGTTGGAGCCTTCCGAAAAAGGACTGTTTCATCAGTGTTATATATTTGGCTGACCAAGAACTGAGCGTCTTCAATAATTTTCACAAGACGCTTCCTGAAGGGTTCAACACTTCCTTCGTCAGCACTGGCAGTCTCACTAACAACTTTCCGGTTGACCAAGCAATGATGGCTTTTAAAATTGAAAAGCCAACCAGCACTTGCTTTGAAGCCTTGTATCTTAAGGTGTTGTGCTAAGTGAGCTGCAGCATTTTGAATGTCCACACCACGTACGTTGACGCCTGACTCTCATTTCTGCTTGTACCACTTGTACACAGCTTGATCTGAATCAGTAAACTTTGTTGGCTTTATTCTTTTCTGCACTTTTTTTGAGCTGCCATCATCGTCTAGAGTTAGAAAGTGCTTCTGAATCTTGTCCCGATTCTTTTTTATGTCGTAAAATGTGCCGGATTTGATCCCAAACTTCTCGGCATCCACTCGGCCTAGCTCTTCATTTTTCTTGCAAAGACTGAGGGACTTGAGCTTCATGCCCTTCCTATAGCCCCTTGAAGGTACAGACACCACGTGAGTGATGTTTGATGAGGGAGAACACAAGCAGAGAACAAAGTGTGGAGAGACAAGCCGCACACACTCGACCGCAACAATAACAAGCACCAGACTAGACTGACTCACGCTTGGAGCACAGTCCTGCTCGGCTTTACCGTTACCATGTGGTCAGGTATGCAGAGATTTTCCCAGATAATTTTACATATCTCGGCATTTCCTGGGTTATACTATACAGTGGTCCCTCAGTTAACGAGCACAATCCGTTCCAGCAGGTTGCTCGTTAACCGAAACCATTGTTTCAATGGGTTTTTGGGTAATTGCTTCCAGCTCACCGAAAATTGCCTAAATTCAACAAAAAAGGTAAAAAAGTACACTTACTTTGAGGTGTGTATGTAGAAGGCTCCTGGATGATGATGATGATGATGATGGGAATTAGAATGGGGGTGGAGGAGAAGGAAGAAGAGAAGGCATTGGGGTGGAAGAGAAGTCACCCCATGGCACCATTTCACCCATAAAATTTTAGTTCTCTTGGTTTTGTATTTCAAGATTATTTTCTTTAAATCAACACTGCACTGCATTATATATTGTCAATATGTAAAATATATTTCAAAATGACTAATAATTTGCTTGGAAACAGAGAAAAAAAGCGTTTAGTTGAAGAGAGTCTCAAGCAAGATGTTACCTCCATTGAAAACAGAGAGGGACTAATGCCTGTCTGGTGTGTTAACAGGCTAGATGGCACGCCAGAAACTAGTTTCTTTACCTTCAATTATGTTCAATAATTGTTAAAATGACTAAAAAG